AAAATCCATATATAACTAAGTGAAAATAAGCCAATTGAGATGCAACAGCTCTTCGAGATAAACATCTTCATTGCCAAAGAGACCTGCATAAAGTGAATCCCATCAAGGACAGACGTTGTCAAGGCAGCCGCTAGCTTTTTCAAAATACGCAAAGGAAGCCCGCATGTGTGACAATGGATCTCTACAGCAGAGCAGCATTCACTGGGGTATGAACCACAAAGCCTCACATATGCACACAAGTGTTCGTGCTGCAATTGCCCTTTTCTTAACCACCGAGATAGCACATTCAACGTCCTTTTTGTCATTAATGTATTTGGTTAATGACATATTTCTCATTCCTGCTGCTCCTGATATCCGAAGACCAGATCTCAACTCGATGTGGATTTATATATCATATATTATTGTCCGATGCACACTGCATTGTAAAACTGGCACCACAAGTTTGATTCCCAGCCACATCTAACATCTGAACCGAGTGATAACGGAATTGGCCCTCTCTCCCACCCTTCAACAACCTGCACTGACAAACATGATGAAGTACGGTATACAAAAAAAACCACATGATTAACATGGCATGGGGTGGCCTTCATCGTCAGTGGCCTGACAAAGAGTTGTAAAAAAATATATATTATTCGCAGTATATATTTTCATTATAAAAAAAAAATTAGCATGTAAAATGTATTCTCCAGTCGGGTCCTTGATTAATGTATTTTTTCCCCCTCTCAGAGCGAAATATGAATTTAATGCATGAGTATACATCATCAATACAGGAGTATGCATCATCAATACAGGAGTTGAAATGAAAATGCTGAAGTGCCAGTATGAAACCTATTCATCCTGCGGCCCAAGTGCTATGCCATTTCCCCCCTGCGGAAACACCTTGGTATAGGAATAGGAACCGATTAGAAAATTCCCGTATACATATTTGGTGTTTTGTATGTATGTTGAACTTCTTTCACACCGCATGTAGCCAACCAGAGGTGAAAATCGGAGGTTCTGAGAAGTGCTAGTGTGGCATATCGTCATATACTGTCCCATTTAAACCCCTACAGAGAGATACTTTTCTGTATATACATATACAGTATATGGATTCATGTATATGTGTTTTTTTATTGTATACTGTATATGAAGCTGGTGACCTTTTTTTTTGCAAATGTATTGGGAGTCACCCCTGCTCATGCAATTTCCTACACCACTGTCCAAACATTAAACGAATTTAGTTTCCAGCCTATCCACGAAAGTAATGTTCTGAAACAACTGTACCTCAAAGGGTCCTCCTCTACCGGAGCGAATAGTATTCCCGTATTTGCTCTGCTAACTGATGGTCACCTAATTTACAAACCTATAGCCCATATTTTCAACCTGTCCATCAAAGAAGCATCAGTACCTCTACAATGGAAACTTTACTATGTTCGTCCACTTCACAAAGGGGGCCCTAAAGATGATCCAAATAACTACCGACCTATCTCAATTTTGTCCCCGTTGATGACATTTTAAAAAAAATATTGAATTAACAAATGATCAGTTTCCTGTCCGACAACAATCTCTTACATCGAAACCAATCTGGGTTGCGAAAAAAATACAGCACCACATCTGCTGCATTAGACTCTATAAATCACATTTACAGTAACCTTGATAATAAGCAGTACTGCGCCAGTCTTTTTCTTGACTTGTCCAAAGCCTTTGATCCAGTCGACCACAACACCCTGCTTAGTAAACTAAGTTGCCTCCATCTCTCCAAACACGCAGTGGAATGGTTAAAAAAATTACCTCTCTGGAGGTCAAACAGTGTTAACATATACTCTTTGGTTTTTTCGGTAAAGTCACGTAGGTAAAATAAAATAAATGAAAACAACTAAATTAAATCACGACGTTACGGAGGCAACACAAGCTTCCGTCTTAAGGTGGCAACCGTCACAGCAAAATTGCTCTAAGAGACACGAGATTATATACAGGTTAAGGGGGGGGGGAGCCAGGAAGGGCCCTGGGGGGGGGGGGCTACGTTAAGCCGCCTTTTGTTATGCTGCAGGGGGTTAGGGGGACGGAGAGGCGATGCCGAGCGGTTGTCGAAAACGAGCGCAACCAACTGGAAGAAATGGAAATGGTTTTACAATTATAAGGCAGCTAAAGTTTGACTTGGTTGATGACATCTTTCCAATGATTGCTCAATATAAAACCATCCTCTCGGTTGAAGTTGTGTCTATGTTTGTATATCTGGATGGCTTCATGGACAAATCTTTGGTAGTATCCGTGAGGTTTGCAGAGTACTTTGGTATCGGAGAAAACAATATTATGAGAACCCGCTGTGTGAAACAATGATCAGCCACGGCTGAAAAATTTGTTCTGCCGTGTTTCAAATCTGATTTGTGCTCGCAAATTCGGTCAGAAATATGTTGTTTCGTCTCCCTGATATAGCAGTCACCGCAGGTACAACTCAATTTGTAAACACCGAGGTACTGTAAGTCAGGAATGACATCCTTTACGGATGGGATCACATCACGGATTTTGTGTATTGTATTTAACCGGACCTGGATCTTGTGTTTGTTCAGAACTTTGGAAATATTTTTGGTAACGCCTGCTATGTATGGCAACGTGATGATTTTGATCGGAGTATCAGGTGGTTGTTTCTGTATGGTGGGAGAAACAGCTTGGCGGATAGTACGATCAGAGTATCCGTTCATCTTGAGGGCCAGATGTACATGTTTTAATTCACTGGCCAGGTGGTGTTGGTCAGAAATGCAATGAGCCCTATGGTATAGTGTTTTGATGAGGGAATTATTTTGAGCCGGGTGGTGGTGGGAATCAGGTTTCAAGTAGGAATCTGTGTGGGTGGGTTTCCTGTAAACAGAATGTCCCAAGGAGCCATCAGGCCTCCTCTCAAACAGAACATCCAAGAATGGCAGCATGCCATCTTTATCCACTTAAGATAACAAAAGGGGTTCCACAGGGTTCCATCCTCGGCCCCCTCTTGTTCTCTCTTTATGTCAATAACTTGGGCACTGACCTGGATCATACCAGGGTAAATCTGTTTGCAGATGACACGATAATGATTACTGCTGGCCGCTCTCCAAATGACGTGATTGCTAAGCTCCAGGGTGATTTCAACAAACTACAACATCAGCTAGTTGCTCTTAAACTAGTCCTGAATACCTGCAAAACCAAGGTGCAATGCTTCTCACCAGGACTAAAGCAGGAAGTTATTTTTCCCCAATTACATTCCTTTAATAATTATCAAATAGAGCAAGTCAAGATCTATAAGTATCTTGGGGTCATCTTTGATTCAAAACTGAATTTTCAAGATCACATTGATTATATTGGTAAAAATACAAAACTAAACTTTGTTTTCTGTATCGACACAAGCACTGCTTCCCCCCTATACTGCCTCTACTTGATTACTGTGACATCATATATAAATCAGCCCCCAGTACTATACTGAAGAAGCTTGACTCAATTTATCACTCGGCCTTAAGATTTAAATTGAACAGCCTATATAGAACCCACCATTGCGATCCCTACATTGGGTCAAACTTAACATATTTTAATGATTGACGGCTTGTGCATCAGATCTTATTTATTCACGATGTACTTACAAAACAATCCGCAGACTACCTGCTGGATCTCCTCACTGTTTCGAAGAACAAATGTGACCTCAGGTCTTTGCTCATTTACCAGCTTCACATTCCTTATTGCCGTACAAATACTGGAGGAAGGGCCTTTGCTATTGATGCCCCCAGGGTCTGGAATGCTATCGCCAATAAACTTCAACTTGGATCACTACCTGTGAGATCTTCACTCAAAACTGCTCTAGAGGAGCTGTACACCCCTAGCTGCCACTGCTATTCAGAGTATCCTGAAATCAAATGTATCGCTCCGGATGACCGCTGCAAAGTATGATCATGAGTTTTGATTATAGTGTGATGATCTTTAACGGTGCATTGAACATTTTTGATACTCCTACTGATACTCCTGCTGTTATAGAGTGACTCATGCTACAAGCTATGGCTGCAAAGTTTGGTCGTACGTGTTGCGTATATCGTTTATTGTAAAATTTGAATCACAGTTCCTGTGATCACTATTACATTGTTTTTATAGCTTTATTTTGGTGATTTCGAAAACGTTTGGTTTAGCCATGTTTGTTTGTTGAAGTACAGAGTTAGCCTGATTACTTTATTCTAAATTGTATTATGGTTATTGTTTGACTTGCATCCCACTGGGATTTTTGCACATAGCGTTGATATACGGTTTATTTTGGAAGATTTTGCTATTTTTTCATGGATTTTTCTGTTGCGCGTAGTCACTTTAAAATGTTTCTTGTTCATGTTTTTGTTTGTTGTGGTTGCACCTGAGTCAAGAGCCGCATGGCTCACAGGGTTATACCTAATAAATGAAACTGAAAAAAAACTGAATTCAGGGCCCTGTGAGCAGTCTTGGCTGTGTGCTACCTTAGTTCACCAGTTTCAATTGGGCTCATTCAATTTGTATTATTCCTCCTCTCATGTCACAAGACGAAGAGATTTGCAATGATTTTGTTTTACTTTGGAACTCTGCAGCTAGCAGTGCATGTATGTACGTATGTTGAACTTAGCCACCCACACTATTTGGAGGTGCGGGGGAAGGACAACTAAATAAACAAAAAAAGGCTGTTGAATGTTTTTCAGAGGTAGCTCTGTGATGTATTTCTATCCATCGAACAAAGACGGTCACTGCATCGCGCACTTTCAGATGCGCTTCTGCGGCCGTCTGGAATGCTCTTCCTTCCGATATTAGGAAGCCACTGGACCTATGCACTGGAAAATCCAGATTGAAAACGAATTTCTTCAGAACTGCTTTTCGTGTTAAGTTTGTTGTGCTTCCCCCGCACCGGTTAGTGCGGTTGGCTGCGTATGGTGTGAAATAAGTTCAACACAAATACATGCATTGTTGGAAACAGGCACACGACAGGACCGGCGGACAAAGACGCACGCTTGCTCCGCGCGTGCCCTCGCGCTCCCCGCACTCACTGGGTGTCGCGTGGAGCCACAGGCGACGATGCGACCGTCGAAAGCCTTGCCGGTAGCTGCTCCATGAGGGTCAGGGCGTCACTCAGCTCCCGCCGCACCTGCGCCAGCCGCTCCTCCAGCTCCTCGTTGCTCTGCCGCAAGCGATCGTTCTGCTGCCGCGTCTCCGACCGCTCCGAGTTCAGCTCGGTCAGCGCCCGCTCCAGCTGCAAGCACTCGGCGCGGGAGCCACGGCGCCGGGTCAACAGCAGCGCCCAGCGGTGATCGCTGCGACGGCCTGATTTCTCATTGAATATATTCCGGGTCGCTGGTAGGCTGCAGTCGACCCGTTAGTAGTAAGCACAGTCATAACCAGATGTACACAGGATGTGGTGTGCTGAGCACAGTTATATTTTTCTGATCGCTGGCCTGAACAGCAGTGGGCCTGTGAGTAAGAGCTATTGTGCCCATATGGGGTAAACTCATATATGAGTGCCCCGTGTATAGTGTAATATATGTTGCTAAAAACATTGGCAACCCAGCAGCAAGTGCTGAACAGACCACACTCTGCTACTGAGATTCATAAGTTGCCGAATTAAACATATTCTGCCGAAAGGCATTCATTAGGACAGCCCACAGACTGGTGGTTATTTCTTTACACGATGGGACATGTTTAACAATTGTCTGTTTAATTATTTAGAAATTGTTGTCAATTTAATTATATTGGCTCCCTGAACCTTAGGCGTTACCGAAGAAGAAGAATAATAAGTGGTGACACGTTGAGAAAGAGCTGCATCATCCCCACCTGTTTTTGCTTAGTCCGGATATTCTTCACCTCCTGTTCCTTCGCGTCCAACTCAGCCTCGAGTTCTTGGCTACGGCACAGAAGCCTCCGAGCATCCTTCAGCAAGCGCATCGACAGTCCAACAGAGCAAGTTCTTTATTGACCTCCTCGTGAGCGTCGCTTTGAGCCGCACCGGCAATTCCAGTCAACGTGTCTCAATGCTCAACGAGCATTGCCACGGCGCTCTTCCGCATTGCTCGTACTGAGCCAGTGGTGGAAACTCTACGTTCTCGTGGTGGAAGCAAGATTCTCCAGAGCATGGCCACTATTTGTTTTCGACGAAGTGGCACTCATTGTATCCCCTCTAAAGAGAGCATAGGCTGAGTACGAGTGTGCCAACAGCCCAATGGTGCTGTTAGCAACCACTGGGCCAGATGCACGATTCAGGGAGTATGTACATATATGTCAATACGAACGAGTTTCTCAAAGATTGCAGATATCTGTCAGAGGGACATAACTGGGAACACATCGGACTCGGGCAGTTTCTGAACGCGGACCAAGATCAACATTATTAAATAAATAGGTGGATGAGAGCATGTTGGATCACTTTGAGAAGGAGAATACCAATTTGTCTCAAGAACAAAGTTTTTTATGAGTGGATCACCTGCTTATGACACGTGGATCAGAAACATGGAGGAGAAGTGCATGCTTTGAATTACGCTGACAGACAGGAAAAGACATGCATGCATTGGGAAACAAAGCAAATGAAACGTATGCTATTATATTAAATATTTATTTTAAAAAAGTAAGTGGGCTTGGGCAGGACACGTTGCTAGAAGGGATGGTTGCCGTTGGTTGAGACCAACGTCTAACGATAGAGTGGCAGCCAAGGAAGGAAACGTGCTGCAGAGGACATGCACTGCAGAGGCAGGTGAATGATCACATTGCTGGACCGTGATGGATGGCAGCAGATTAGGGAGGCCTTCATCGAGCAGCGGATAAATCAAAGCTACTGCTGACGATAATGCTGCTCGTGATACGTAAATAAAGGGGAAATATAAAGCTTGCTAAGCTTCTGAAACGGCATGCAGCTGCGATGAATACCTGGCTGGAGAGCTTCTCCTTCTCACTCTTCATCTGCTGCTCCATCTCCTCGTACAGGTGCTGCACCTCGCGGTCATGGTCGCCATTCCTCCTGTCCGTCAGCATGCCGAAGCGCCGGGTCAAAGTGGACGGGTAGGGGGGGGTTAAGTCTCTTGTAAAGCTGTTAGCGCAGCCTGTCTGGTCAATAATAATTTCCAAATAGTTTTGGCGCTAATGGTTTTCAGATGGTGGGTGGCCACTGTAACATTTACTATGGTAAATGTTACATCTTAGGAAATGTGCCCTAATATTTGTTGCAGCGACAAATGTCGTGTGCCACCGAGATGAAGATGATTTGCTTGACATGGAAGCTCCCTCCCCACTTGTCGCATGCTTTGTTGGCAATTAAAACTTACTTGAATACGACATTACTCATGCAGCCCAATTGCAATCTAGAAGTTAAATGTGAACTGCGGAATAAGGTATTAAGAGGGAACTAGATTTACACATCTGTTCGTTTTCTTTCATGAAACCAATTGTACGGACTGCAGAGGTTACACATCTGTAAATATTTTAATGCAAACAAGCATATACAGGTAGGTACCCCAGCATATATATGCCATTTGAATTCAGTTACGTTATGTATGTGTAGATATAATTTGTTCTCTAAAAGAGAAAGCATACGGCCAGTGATATTATTTTAATGTCTAGCAATAATGTGTTAGGAATTATGGTATATATTACCAATACATATCAATGGATATTAGGGATTAGGATTTATCTGAATATCGAGCCTATAAATGATATCAGATGGGCTGAAAAACACTTTCAGATTGATCTGTAACATCATAGGAAAGGATGTAACTTTTGTATAAAATATGAACATGTTTTTACATTTAAATGTTTGTTTTACTAAAATCTTACAAATTATTCAATTCAGTGCATGAAGGTGCAATTAATTAACATGAAATACTAAATAAAATCTCAAATTGAGTCTTAAAATATGAAAATGCATTATCTGAAACAAAAAATATTAAATGTATCCCTGGGGGATATTTATATATCACATACAGAATATATTATGAGTGTATGACAATATATATGTTTAATAAAGTAATGCTAACATTAATATTTCTGTTCTAGAAATATACAACCTGCTGTATGCTTTCTGTTGATGAGAAAAATCTAAATAAATATACATTACATTCACATGTCATCTCATACTGATATAAACAGAATATTGATATTGTAACATTAATTAGGAAAGATTTAATCATACATTGATCACATATATGTCATACATGTGCAGGGCACTTTTATATTTAACAAAAATAGTACCATAGTGTGTCAAGAAGCAATCCAGGGTTAAAGCAACTTCTGGAAAGTATTGAATCAACACATTGAAAAAGGGGTGGAGTGGTAGTGCAGTGTTAAGTGCATTGCACTCTGAACCCAGCCACCTGAGTTGGATTCTTGACCACACCTAACATGAGTGGTGAGTAATGCCTGAACTGGTCCTGTGCACCCCCTTAACGAACCTGTACTGATCAGCACAGTAATGGATGGTCACACAACCCTATAACCAATAGCATTAAGAGGCCTTCATCCAGCTGGGGATTGCATACTGGACTTGGCAGCCCAACCAATGTAAGCAGTGAAGTACTAATTGTTTAACCTTCAAAGTGCAAACCGAATTTCAGAGTTCACTGTACCATTTAATACTAATTTTATTTCCATCAATTATTATATGCAATTTTTGCTTTTAGAACCACTCAGCCTATGTGGTAAAGGGTTTAAAAATGTACAACGGGCTTTAAATCATAATTATGTTTACATTTGTAATCTGAACACATTTTAATAATTTTAATTTAGTCGATTAGAATTTATCAACTCCATCAGGGGGAAATAAAATAATGACGTACTGTGTTCTTGTATTTGTGCCCTTTAAGCTGCAATTCGGGAAAATTGCAATTCTAAATGTGCAACTGGAATTGCAGAAACTAAATTGGTTCTGTTTATGACGCACATTATTCTCTATAAGCCATTTTGTGCAACTAGAGTACAGAATGTTCTCTTAATATTTCAAACGGTGCATTAGCCATAAGTGTTGCTCTGTTGAGTGGAAGGTATTCTACAAAATATGGATGCTTTTATAAAAGTAGATACGATAATTTAATTTGTCGTAGCAAAATTATTAATTTCACAAAAGTTTGATTTTTTATTATTCTTCTTCTACACTTTTGGTATGTAAAATATAATCAGGTAATTTTCTTTCAAATGCCAACTACTGCAGACTAATTAAAATGGTTAGAAACACATTCCATACAGGTCATCCAGAATACAGAACTAATACAAGCATGGGGATAACATTTTACCTTGTCTGGGCTTCGATTTAAAGCTTTCGTGACTGCAAGGATTCATCTTCTTTGGTTCTTTTGGTAAAGTCACGTAGAATGAGAATAAAATAATAAATTGATAAAATAAAACAACACAATAATATTCTCACGACGTTTCGGCCACAACACAAGCGGCCTTCATCAGGTGAAGGGGACGAGACTGTCTGGAGGACAGCGCTGGAGTGAGAAAGCCACGCTGAGATCACGACCTTTAAGCTGTGTGAGAAGAAACAAAGCGCCTTGACAAAGGAATTAGCATTAGCCATTTCAATGCTAAATTATATGCTAATTCCTTTGTCAAGGCACTTTGTTTCTTCTCACACAGCTTAAAGGTCGTGATCTCAGCGTGGCTTTCTCACTCCAGCGCTGTCCTCCGGACAGTCTCGTCCCCTTCACCTGATGAAGGCCGCTTGTGTTGTGGCCGAAACGTCGTGAGAATATTATTGTGTTATTTAATTTTATCAATTTATTATTTTATTCTCATTCTACGTGACTTTACCGAAAGAACCAAAGAAGACTTGTCTGGGTTGTCTATACGAATTTATATTAAAAAAGGGGATAGCTAGAACGTTGCAATTTATTACATCTTGAAATTAAACTTTCATCCAATATTATATTAACATTGTTCTGGCCTTAAGTCTCTAAATTATTCTTTATTGAAATATATTCTTTTTAGTGACGTAAACTTTTGAACACCAATAGATCTGCCCACAATAGAGTGAGAATGTGATTTATAAATTGAGAGTTGGGCATTAGTAGTGAGTGGGCTGCGTCGCAGCAGCATCAGCAGGGAGTAGGTGCTCATTAACTATCGATTGAGAAGTACCAGTGCCATACGTTAAGCAGCGTGAGACGCAGTTGGACTCGAGAATGAGGCTCAGAGGCACATGCACAGGGACGGCGGTTTTCAGAAGAAAGTGTGAGGCTATATAAGCAAGCAAGTAATGAACAAATAAACAGACAGGTGTCCGTTTTCGAATCATAAAAATCAACAGATGCATGGTTTAGGTCGATAAATTGATCCATATTTGTTTATGGGTTAGGCCACGAAGTAGTGTTGTGCCAAAATTCTTGTAACTAATCGTACACCATCCAACAAGATTGTCCCGTTTACAAAGATGTGATTTGTCTCGATCAAATTCTGACCAATAATGCTCCGGTGGCTTAGGATTTCTCATGAATTTGATTCGCTCAAGCTGCTCTAAGCTTCGTCATGTAGTGAACTTGGAAACCAAGTGGGTTTCATCATCTGTCTGTGCTCTTTTAGTCCATTTGTTGGGATTCATACTTTGCTTGCTTGAACACATGCTGCTGGAATATATTGGTTTAGAAGGCCTATAGGCAAATGGACCAAAATTACGTGTATTTGGTCGTAAAAAAGACTTGTTTAATTTTATGTATTACTAATAGCTTATGATGCATGTCATAAATACCTATATCATTCATGAATGTAACTGGCCAATGAGCTTTTTGAAAGGAAGAATTGACACTCAGTGAGGTTTTGCTGAGTATAAACATAGAATGATCATAATTAGTATATAAATAATGATCAATTTATTCTTATGCTATTGTTTGATTTGAGAAACCATTGAAATATATTGAAAGAAAAATGCAGTTAAAAATAAACATTGGTACCTATGAGCAATCATTAATTCCTGACTCGAAATCAAATATGGGAAAAGGTAAAAGTTTGAGATATCAACTACTCGATGTATGGCTTTTACGCAACTGAATATCTAATGACTAAAGTACTTCATGGCAGGTGGTTTGCTAATTCCCATTATAGTATTTTGCAGTTGTGTTAATTAATTTACATGTTCAATTCAAAATAACTCTGTGGTTGGCATACCGATCGCCAGGATACTAAATAAATTTGGTCGAACAAAATTACAATGATGCATCACATGCTTCATCTGATTATTGATTATACCACACACTGTTTAATACATTCACGACCTTAGCTTTTTCTAACTGAAAATTGTATCCTCCATTGAGACCAGAAATATATATTTTACAATTATTTTAGGCATTTTAATGATTCCAGACAAGTCGACTTATATGGCCGGGACGTGTTGGACGAAGAGGAGGAAACTGCATCGGAAGAAGAAGTCAGAAAGGTGACAACACAATGGGAATTAGCAAACCAGGGTAGAGACTGTGATGCAGGGCCTAGAAAGAGGTGGTTTTAAGTGGTGATCACGATGATGTGATGGAACTGTGGTGGCGTGGACGTGGAGATGGCCCAAGACAGAGAGAGAGAGATGAGTGGAGAGAGAGAATGATGTGATGAGAGAGAGATGAGTGGAGAGAGAGAATGATGTGATGGAACTGTGGTGGCGTGGACGTGGAGATGGCCCAAGACAGAGAGAGAGAGATGAGTGGAGAGAGAGAATGAGGAAGGCAGACCCCACACAAGTGGTAAAAATCGCCAAAATACGAAGTTGTATTCAACCAAACTATTATTTCTCACAATATTTTCTGGGTAATGCTGGTGTTTTCATGAAGTTAATTACTTTTCGCTATACTTCCATTTTTTTACAAAACACAATGGGCCACAATTAAGTCAAAATCCCACACAAGCTTGCCAAACTGAAAAATAATTATGAGACCTCTTTTGCCAGTAACAAGATATAGTAATAGGTTTTTGCCCTTTTAGCTGGCACGAAAACTGACACCTTTATACAAGGGATCATGTTTGCAATAACCACAACACAAGCAGTTAAAAATGCAAACAAAAAGAAACTCTGATAATTTTATTTTATTACATTGATTTGGGGGAGGTGTGATACAGTGGTTTGTGCACTGCACTGAATTTATAATTCTTGCTATTACTAACATCAGTGGCAAGTGGTATTTAATCCAGTCCTGGTGCGTCAACTCTTGAACAACCCAAAGTCCACCAGTGTGGTGGAGTTATGGCCTGACAATGACCAACAAGGCATTGGGAGTCCTCCAGCCAGCAGTGTATATATGAATATGGCTTTAATGACTAAAATACGAAGATATTTCCGATTTGTTCTCTTTTTGTTCTCTTAGCTTTGCAAGCAAAATAATATATGCTCTGGAAATGGAAAGGTGGTGGAAATACATTTGAAGTTGGGAGAAGGCAAGTAACCAAGGTAGCTGATAAAGCCTCTTTATCATGGGATCATAACATTTGACTTTCCTGGCCCCTGTTCTCTGTGTTGCCATGCCCACGTGAAGAGATTTGGTAACGGTTAAACAATGATAAATAATTTAGTCATCGTCTTAGTCTGGTCGATGACATTGTAATATTTTAGCCGAATCTTCATCCGTGGCTTTCATTTACAATAGTAATTATCATGGTCTGTTGACGTAAGCAGTCCAAAATGTAGTGCACGATTGGTTATTAAAGGTTGATGTGAGGGTCTTCATCTAAGCATTGCTGCTGTCTCTAATGATGGTCCTAAATTACTTTGGCCTGCATATTCGATCGACTGGTTAATTTCACCAGTCATGATTTTTTCCCTGGTAGGCAATCGAAGACATCGTCACACTTGATGAATTTCATCGACTTGTGCCCACCGTTGATGGACAACAACAAACCCCCCCCCCCCCCCCACTTACCGTAGTTGACGGTTATAGTCGTAAATAATCTCCATAACGGAATGAGCACTGCGATTAAGCGCGGAGTACGTACTTTTGGAGTATACGTTCCACAGTGGCTTTCTCCTGCTTGGCCTGCAGGATCAGCAGGGACACCCTGGAGAGGAAGCCTTCAAAATTGTTCAGAAGCTCCGGCTCATCTCTGCGTAAGCGGGTCCACAAGGCGCGCACCTCATCCTGCCTGCAACGCCGGGCACATTCAAGAGAAGGACGTGGCACATTAAAATCAGTACATTTTCGCAGCTGCTTGTAATCCAAGTGTGGATTTCCGGGTCAGGCTGCTCGTCGAGCATTTCTTCTCTCAAGCTATTGCCATGACTACTGCGGCCATCGATTCAACTGCAGCCTAACCCACAAAATAGCACTTGGATGAATGTAGGCATGTGAGCTTGTTCAGACAATTAATGCACAATGTTTAGCACTAGCTTTATTCATGAGTGCAATACGAAGGAAAGTGTTATTTAGTTAAATCAAACCCACGTAAAACAAAGTGGGGTGCATATTCGATAGGAAATTAATCTAATCTATAAAACATGTACAGTATGCTTTGGCAAAGCACGTAAAATAAATGCATGAAAAAAATGAAGATTTTTTTCCATTCATGAATTCTTCAAATAAAAAAAGGTATTATTATTTTATAATTACATCAGTGTGGTAAACTTAAATGCTCCTTCCTGATTATGTTTTCTATTTCAAATCCTCAGGCTTCTCAAGTCCTGCCATGCATCTGTGTAGAGTGTCATCATGATGTAGCAATGTTTGAGACAAACACACATTTTTTTGGGAGGCTGTGTTATATTAAGAAGATACATTCAGGCTTGTTTTGTTACAGAGCACGAATGCATCCTGATTACAATATTGTCCTATTCAGGTGGAATTGGATCATAATGCGCAATAAATGTGCTGGCACAGAGTGCCCAGTGATACAGGGGTACCAGGTCTCCCAACTCTGCTCATTATCATGAGGCCAAAGCAGCACCAAAGACCAGACAGAGTCCAATTAACCAATCTAATTACAATCATGAATAATTGACAGCCTTTTTTCAATCCAATGCTGGATGAAGGCATGCCGTGTCAGTCATATGGGTCGTTTGACCATATGCAACCATGCTGTTCAGTCCAAGTTAGTGAAAGGGGCACCTCACTGCTGGTTCAAATATCACTTGCCATTGATGTTATCCGTGGCCAGGAATTGAACTCAAGTTTGCCGGGTTCATGGCGCAATACCACTGTGCCAACATGTCTCACAATTAACCAGTCTACCAAGATTGAATTAACCAATCCACCAATGTCTAATTAACCCATCAAATAAGTTCAAATGAACCAAGTAGATTGTATTATTCCATGAGCCTATGGTGTTCAGCAGTTCAACATAGATTTCTGAAAGGGTATATTGTGGAGAAAGAAAGCCAAACATTCTAATGACTAATACGATATTCATACACCTCACCTGAGTCAGATTGCTGCCACGAAACCAAAGAAATATGGTCAGTCTGTGAGGTATGCACTCGTTTATAAACGTCTGTTGGATGCCGGGCTAACAACTGAAGCCTGCGAGACAAGTGGCTTCAAGCCTGGGCAGCTGCTCCATTGCTGACAATGAGTGTGACGCCTCGTAGATGACTCCAAACCACTGTTAACATCAGCACCTATGCGTGAGCGAGTTGAGGGTGCCCTACCAAAGAACCGTTCTCGGTGGTTTTTTGGTTACATTACAGATAGGATCCCAGAAGTCATTTTTGATCATTGGGTTAGGCCACGTAATAATGAGGACCAAATATGTAAAAAAAAAACTCAACACATATTTGGTGACATTTCAGGCAATGTCATTGTTCTTCTTTGGTTCTTTCGGTAGAGTCACGTAGAATGAGAATAAAATAATAAATTGATAAAATAAAATAACACAATAATATTCTCACGACGTTTCACCTGATGAAGGCCGCTTGTGTTGTGGCCGAAACGTCGTGAGAATATTATTGTGTTATTTTATTTTATCAATTTATTATTTTATTCTCATTCTACGTGACTTTACCGAAAGAACCAAAGAAGATGAATCATTGCAGTCACGAAAGCTTTAAATCGAAATTTAATGTCATTGTTGACGGTTTATTTTATAATTGTCCTCATGCAACACTGTCAATGCACCATCACCAAATAATATATTTAACTTTGACCAAATCTTTGTCATTAAGATCCTCCACCACCCGACACAAACAAATTAATTGTCACGTGTGCAAGGATATATTATTGTTTGAGCTCACCGGTAAATTGAAGAACAGTCCTCACAACCAAATGTAGGAATGAGATACTATCTCATTGTATCTAGATGCTACCTGGCAGCATGATGATTGTTTTTCAAAACATCAATCACGAATCATAGTATTGGATGTGAAAACTCACGTGTTATTATACCTGCAGTTCGACCCCACCTCATTGAGTATAAGGTGAATTCTACTGCACTCTAGTTTGATCAAATCCACAGAACTACTGGCTGCTGACTGTATTAGCCTACTGTCTGTGCGCTAATGTGTATATAAAGGCTCTGCCATGGGCATAATCAGCAATTATGTTGAGGTCAGGAAAGCGTAGACCCAAACTACCATGTGCCTCTTAGCCACATATAAGTTCCAAGGGTGTTAAAACACCTACGACAGCCACAGTGGCTGCACCCCTGACCTATCGACAGCACTGTAGGTAGTAAGATCCTTGTCTGACCCAAGTGCCCAAATGTACAGAGTCTCATACGAATTAATGAATGTGTGTAATGAGACACCAGTAAATAGATCAAGTTACTTGTGAAATATTGGAGGCAGCATTCCACGTTTGCCCCTGCATATGAAAAAAGGGGCATGTATGTCATAAGTCATGACTCACCAGAGGACCTGGGAAAGAAAGAGGCATTATATATAAATATAACCTCGGATAGGCCAGCAGATGTGCTCCTATTGAGCGGGAGAGAACACACTCTGAACCTCAGCTTTTGGCCATCTTGGTGAATTAAATTGATGCTTTTATGTGCTTTTATGTCTCCTATCTGCACTTGAAAATGCCGCAGTCTCTCTACTTTCCTTTCATATGTAGATGTCATACCATTCAGGGTCACACATCATGCATGCTTTCCCAATTTTCCATCACGCATGCACGTCACCACACACAATGAATGCACCCTGCTCCAACGTGTTTATTTTAACGGGCACCTTTATCCCAAATAATTTAATTAATTTATTGGCGCCACTGGCCCTAACGTGCACTGTCACTGAAACATTGTTCAATCGCGTATTAAATTATTGCCCGGCCACTCCTGTGATTGGTTATAATAAGACTATGATTCACACAATTAAATAACGTGCTGAAATCACACGTTGCTATTTTACTAATCAAATCGGTGGCTGTCGAATTGCTGCGTATTATCAACCATAATCAGATGTGAAACATTTAAAATATGTGGTAATTAAAGGAGGTATTTCAAAATGTGATTAATTATGTACATTTAAAATGGTTTTCATTTAAAACAAAAAAAAACACTTCTCCACGTATATTATGGAAATCTGTCACGGCTGATTTAAATGAGTTTTGTTATAGTTTATACGGGACTTTTTATCCCTCCAATTGAACCTGTTATTTATTGTGTCATAGTTAAGATGCTTAACGTATTGCACTCTGCAAATTGCCCATGGATAGGGTACAAGACTCACAAACAAAAGGTTGCCAGTTGCAATCCCAGTCAGGGGAAGATCACGCTTTAGTTGGCGAGAGGTCAAAGACAAGAATACATTTCTGGACAAGTCCCCAGTGGTCGTCTGATGCCATTACTTGACCTGAGTCATGACCAATTACATTTACACGATTGTCTCTGAAGTGTAACGATGTCGCTCAGTGTGAGCGTATTTCCAAGTTTTAGAAATAATTGTCACGTTTTAATATTGAGGTTCAAGGTTTTAAACTCCACAAAGTCTTGTACTCTCAATTCAATGAACGGCTGCGAGACAGGGCTGCCTTTGAAGGCAGCTGCTCATGCAATACGTCCTTCACTTTCCACCAATGCATGGAAAATCGTGCAAGTGCATTCGTTCACAGCTATCGTCATTAAATTAATCAACTGGAAATGTTTTTTCTTCACTTTTGTTAAAGAATGCAAACTGGGTTGCAATAATGCACATCAGTGTGCGTCAACATTGCTTAAGCGATGGGCATATGTACAAAGTGAACTATTTTTCATAATAAAGGTTTTTGGGTTAGATCGCATTATTTATAAATGTGTCGTAACCCTCCACCACCCGACACGGCCAATCAGCAAAAAAGTGTCACGTTGACAAAAGACAAATAGTTCACTACTTTAGCCCACCGGTGTGTTGAAGAGTGAATCCACAACATTTACAGTTTGAGTACCACGTTTCGCTGGTAATTACATCCAGCATCATCGGGCAATTCGCCAGAATGGTAAAGCCCTCGCTTGCTCCCGGTCTTAACTAGAGCAGCAGGGTGACGTCATCACTTAACTCATTTCAGGTGCAATTATTTGAAATTAGTTAAATGATGAATATGACTGCAGAAATTCATATTCTTGAGTCTTTCTGTAAAGTCACGTAGATAGGTTCAAATATTTTTTTGTTATTTTCTATGAACCTATCTACGTGACTTTACCGAAAGACCCAATAATATGCACATAAGCACATGAGCTTAGCATGGTTGGCATAGGCCCTCGTGCAAAGAATAAACTTGGGACCCCTGGTCCAATATCTCCGTTCTTCGTGGGTGCTTGGGCTCTCCTGGCCCATTGACACGGGTGCAGTTGCACCGACTACACACTCGATAGTTAACCAAGCCACTGCATGTGCGTGCATGTGTGTGCGTACGTGTGTGGGGGAATAGGTGCTTGCTAACGGCACTTGTCCCAATAGTCTGTCTGAGGCAATACGGGGAATCTTTGTCTTCGTCTGGAGGTTTTCCATGGAGCCGACACAAAGGGGGTGTTGTTGTACTTGTGCAGCCGCCTGCAGTTGACTCACTCGCCAAAGACGTTGCGAGCGCCCAAGCTGTCCATGAGGCGAGAGAAATGGAGCTCATCTTCTTGGCAGAGGTCGCTCTCACTGTCGCCCCACGTCAGGACGGGAAGATGTTTTTCAGCAAATTTAGGGACCTGCTCTCCCTTAGTCACGAGGCTTTGCAGGCCCAGATACTGACCTGCGTTGAGAATAACACAGTATTATAAAAGATTAACAGGTATAGGTGCAGCCCTGCAATTACTTGCTCATGCTACTACTGGCAGAAAGTCTTCCAAAAGAGGGGGCTCTATAAAGCTCCTCTAAAAGGCATTTGTCCTACTCTTCCACGCTAGCCAGACGACCTTTTTATTTTTTATAGTTAGCAATATTTCCACTGGTGGGACATCATGCACCTCTGACCATATGACTCGAAATTGCACATCGTCCTATTAGACCTCGGCATCTAAGCAGATTTGAGCCTGGATTGTGCTCGGATAGGCAGTAGAAGGCAATGCAGTAACATGCAGTAATGTTTTGCGCTCCACCAACCTTTACCAACCTGCACTTACTAGCACGGTGAGAAATGGTCAACCAACCCGCAGGCCCAACACCGTGTGGAGAGGCCATCATTTAGCAGTGGATTCACCGGTGGGCTGTACATACACGTGGGACGTTGGACAACTGAATGAAAAACGCTAACAGCAACACAACCTCGCTGTCATGTTGCCCGGCTACATCACTGAGCAAAGTGAGGCTGGTACGGCACAGGCGACTCATTGCTGCTTCTGGGGGCTTTCCTGAATTTCCCAGGGCTCCCCCCCGAATCCACAGACTGCACCGACGTCGCGTGCCAGCCCTGAACATTTGGTTAAGTCGGCCCATGTGTGCACGGTTTACCCAGGCCATGGGTGAACTCGGCCAGGGTGAGGTATCCCTGCATGTGGCAGTCCAGCTTCTCAAAGACGTCCTCCAGCTGCTCGGGGTTCAGGGGCAGCTCGGCCTCAAGCCTCTACGAAACGCAGCGCAGCACGCAAGCAGTCGCGCGTGCAGAGTACGGTTACCGGCACACCGCAGCACGTCACTGACCGATTAATTCCAACACTTCCTGTGAATTATTTTAAACTCGTCGAACAGAACAAGCATGCTCACAGTCTTAAATCAAATATGGTTAATTGTATCCGTACACGCAACAGGTCAAATTTTTTAATATATATACGGCAAGAGGTACGAATGTGACAATTTGGATTGGTTCTCCTATCACGCCTTGCATGTCACTTGACATCACCATGCCACGTGTGTATAATGCACACAGCCTTGTTGTAGACCACCACAAAATTTGTAAAAAAAATTGCCCACGCTATTTTAGACAATAGCGGGATAAAAGGACAACTGTATAGCGGCGCTGTTTATATGACAAGTGGGTTACGGGTGATAGCACATCATTTGTCCATCGTGTGTGCACGTGGATGAATGAAGGTCAGAGCGGCCAACGGCATGGTCTGCCAAACTGTCGTGCGAATGGTGAAGTTTCAGTGCGCAGATTGCTCTGTTATGTTTGGGTGAAAGACCCAACGCAGAAGATCCCTGGTTTTCATCCTCCATGAAGCTCATCGTCCACCCTAAACCGCATCCGCACAAACCATGGCAGATGCGGATATTCGATACACAAACGGAAAATTAAAAACTCTCCCATGTGCGACTGTGGTCATCCAGAACGGACCACACAACATATAACGACGGAATACGAAGGGGACATCACAGCGATACACACACTCTGCTGCTCCTGGCGCGGTTGTCTGGGCTTGACCACGTGAATGTGAAACTGTCATTGTTGCTCTGCATCTACATCAGCAGTCGTACGAAAGAATAAGTTTGGGTATGACTGTTGATCGAAGCTACACCAAGACGTGCGGCACCCATTACCAATGCACAGTCTACATGTTCCTCACATTGACATCACTTCCTGTGCTTTGGTTCCTTAAATTAATCAAGGTTTAATGAACACTCGTAAACAATTTAATACCCGCATTTCTCGACCACATGGAATGCTGATTACATGTTCTACCTCTCTTTAATTAAAATCACCATGTCATCAGCAAATCTGAGATGGTTAATATTTTCCCGATTTATGTTTATGCCTTTTTTCTCAAATCCGATTTTCACATATTATCTTCCAGTGCTTCTGCGAATAACTTTGGTGAAAGCATGTTTCCTTGTCTGACACCCCTTATGATGATTTTTTTTGTTGGTTTGTAGATGTAAACTCGGTGTAGTTGTTCCATTTTAGCAAATGGTATTTTAAATTTAAGCCTTGGCTTATGATAGCCGCATCAACTTGTCAAATACCTTTTCATCCTCTACAAAGACGAGGCACAGTGGTATTTGGTATTAATTAGTTATTGTCAGAATATGTTTCATAGTGTGTATGTGGTTGACGCAAGAGAAACCTTTGCTGAACCCTGCTTTCTCATGTGGTTGGTATCTACATTTTTAGTTATTCCGTTTCTCAGTAAGCTTTGTGCAAATTTATGTACATGCGATAAGACGACAAACGGTCTGTAATTCTTCATTTGTGTTGAAGTACTTTTCAAATACATCATCGTGACTTTTCTAATGACATGTGTAATGATAAAAGCCCAAGGAAAATAGCTAGAGGAAATCATTCTTGAACTTAATAAGGATGCAAAGTTAGGCTCAATATGTCATAAATATTAAAACAAATGTAAGTTCTGTAGAGCAAGCTGGCTAAACAAGTGAAGACAATTATTGGAGTAACGCAACTGGAAAACTCATCAGAGTATGCATACCAAGGATCGTTATTAAAGGCACATTGGGATCAAACTGATTAAATAAATATGTGGACGATATCACGTTAGAATGCTTTTGGGAAATTGAATTTAATAATAAAACGCAAAATACCAGCGTGCTGAAAGCAATTGTTTTTTTTAATAAGTTAATATTACCTGCTGTGACGACGTATCGATCGGAAGGATAAACATTGACAAAGAAAATGGAACAAAAGCTGAAATGTGCGGGCAGAAGCATTGATTCGTGCATGATTGTAATCACACCGACAGCCAGAAAGAGGAACACATGGATTACAGAACATATGCAAGTAACCGACATTGCATTGACCGTCAAGGGAAGTAAATGGGTTTGGGCAGTACACTTGGCTAGAAGGGACGATGGCTGCTGATTCAGACGAACGATCAATTGGCAGGCAAAGGAGTGAAGTAATGCGAGAGAATGTACACCCCAGAGATTGGGTGATGGAATCAACCCCTGTGCCACAGTTAGATGGATTATTACACCGCGAGACCATAAGAGATGGTTACGGGGAGGCCTTCATCCAGGACTGGATAGATCATGGCTCATGATGTCCATTATGAGGGTGCATTCTGCTCAACCATAATGCATGTTGAAATCTATTAAAACACGTGTTTATGTTAAAGTTTTAGATCGCAATCTATAAGTAGAGGTGTTACGAGGAACAGAGAGTCGCTGAATATGTAGTTAGCATAATGTAGCACATCTAAATGAACGATTTGACAAAAGAAAAAAAACAAGTCTCTGACTGCCTTCTATAATTTCCATTAACAAAAAATAAACTCTACTTTGCCAGCGAGTTATTTTAATGGCTGTAATATTTAACAGTCCTCATCTTAGTAGTTTCAGCTGTTTTGCAAACTCTTTAAACGTGAACGTTTGCAACACACGGCCAAGCGTAATTATCATTCACACATGAAACAATCGTTTAACAATTCCAACTCGTTATCGTGACACTTTAGTTAAATATACTGACAAATGTGCTGAGGTGTGCCGTAACTGTAATGCATATTAAGTGCAAAACCATGGTTCACTATTTACACCGCAGTTAGCTGCAACAAGAGTGCTAAGCACAGAATCGCATTCTGTTATGCCACTATGCACGGTTCAGACGTCACTGGAAATACATAGAAATTGTAAGTTGTAGTCAACAGTCCTTATACACCTTCGTGCTGTCTTACATTGCATGTGACATTATTTCGTTTTTTCCCAAGGGAGAAGAAATCATCACCGTCGCCACCGCTTTCCTACATTGCTCGTACACAAAGCCACCGTGTCAGTCGGCACGAGCAGTCCCCGGACGTACCTGCATGTCCCTTTTGGTGATGAAGCCTTTGTCCTCCTTGTCGCAGAGAAGGAAGAGCTCTCGGACCTTGTCCCTCATCTCGTCCGGCTCCAGGTTCCACAGCAGGCTCGGCCGCCGATTCCACGGAGGGGTCTCGCACATGGAGCCCCCCGGTGCTCTCGTTAATGCTCTGCACGACGCGGCACCACTGCCACCGCTACCGCTTGCAACAAGTCCGCCTGCCGCCACAACCGCAGCTCCTGTCACGACCCCCTCGTCTCCGGCGGCCAGGCTCGCCATCGACCAGGAATCGCAGGAGTACAGCCCACGCAACACTCAGGGGGAGAGGTTCAAGCGCGCACGTGGTGGTGGTGGTGGTGGGGCTTCTTCGGTGCGCTGTGTGTATTTGAGCACTTGGTTTACCAGAACTTGTCGTTAGGCGCTCGCTTGTCCGCTCAATGCAAAGCATCACCTAGCAACATACGATTTAATTGGGCTGTGGGGGGGGGAAACATGGAAAATGAGGTTATTGTGTGAGCCTCATAATGTTTTGAGATGCGTACAAGGGCGGAGCTGTGCCAGAGTCAAGAGCATTCCCTTCATCCACTCGCAGGTAGCTCTTCAACACAATCACTTTCCGCAGTGTCACAGTGCCTTGTTCGATTCGAGTTGGAGGAAGATAATTATAACCAAGGCACCTCCTGGTTATGTTTAATAAAAAGTGTTTCATCTCCCTCCTCGAGGCCACATCATGAGGAAGGCTCAACCCTGTGGAATGACGCCGCACACAAAATGCAAAAGTTAACGTGCGCGTGGAATTTTTAGAACGACATTGAGCCGTGCCCGTGCGTATTGTGCATTGCCGAGTCGATGACATTCGCGCAAATGGTTGCGGCTGGAGTGTTACAATCAGGTGTGGGCATTTACCATGTCTTTCAAAGAGTCGTCATGGGTCTGCTTTTTGCACAGGGATCAGCTCTTGAAAGCTATTATTCCATGCTTGGGTTGGGTTTAAAATGAAAGTAGGAGAATAATGAGGCCCGAGACAGACCTCTCCTCATGCACTTTTTACAAATTTCAATTTTCCCCACTACTCTATAAGCTTTGTACTTACACAGCATAATTATTTTCAAGCCAACATTATACATTAGCTACATTGACCAAGAAATTAAAAATTCTTAAATGGTAATATTTTTTAACTCGCAACAATACATACAATTTGTACATATAAACGTTAACGCATGCAAAAAATCTGTATGCTGTAGTTTTTAATGCAATACAATTCACGTTTAAAATATATATATACACAAACGCAAGTACTTTGCAGGGATAACAACCAACATATCTGGTACCTGCAGACGCGTAGACACTTGTGAGAGTGTGAGAAACACCAGATGGTTGATCATTTGTATTCATATATGCTGAACTTCTTTCGCACCGTACATAGCAAACCGTGCTAATCGGAGGTGCGGTGAAAGGACAACATTCAGCATGCGTGTGCCCTGAGCCTTTCTTGTGCCTCTCTAACTGTTGGTTTCACACTGGCTGCTTCAACACACTGTTGCAACAGGAAGTTCTTGCTACAGGAAACAACAACACAACACACATACGAAGGGAAATATAATTCACACGGGCACAAAAAGCACCCCCTCTCCCTTCTAACCGCACGGACACCGCGGGTGGAGTTGACCCTCGACCTTTTGGTTTCTGCTGCCACGTTCGTGATCGGGGGCGTTGTGGTCATAGCTCATGCTCATGGACTTACTGGCATCGGGCAAACACTTGCATTTCTGCACGTAGTTTTATTCTCTCGGCAACGTCCTATAGGAGTTCGTACATTAAAATTCGATTGCCTGCCTTTGGGCGACGCTTGTGTTTTACCTGAGAGATTGCATGCGGTCCAGATGCATCTGTGCTTGCTTTGTCTCTGTCTGCCATAGGTTTATACTGTTACTAGCTTAACTTACCACGGATTCGCCCGGGACTTGGATTCACGACGCCCGGCCGCCTTTGTCCCGCCAGTGGCGATGTTCACACACCACACACCAGTTACTCGTTTGAGGCTGAGTCGACCCAGTGGAGGCCCAGTTAAAATAATCGTCACCGGTGGTGGCCGTGAGCGGGAATCGAACTCGGGTCGCCAGGTTCGTAGCGCAGCGCGCTAACCACTACACTACAATGCGTTACGCTTCCACGTGCGCGGGTCACGTGACAGATTTGACGTCACAGCTCACTTGCCGTGCAAAAAATAAATGCATTATTGAGCTCCCCCCCCCAAAATAAAAAACCCCCACAAAAGTTTATTTTTATAATTGTTGCATGGTGTACAGTCTTGAAAGTACCCACATGGCAAATTTCAAGTTTGTTGCATGTCGGGAAGTACGCTGAGCATTTTGAACAGACACACTTATTCACAACTTTGCTTGAAGCAAAAGTGTTGACAGATAATAATGAACAAAGGCCATTTCTTAAATGGGCTCAGCACATACTACTACTGTGCACGTCTTCCGTGGTTGTGCTGTATGTATGAATTCAGCTCCTGAAGAAGCTCTCATGCACGCGGAGCGAAACGTCGGACATCATGCCGCGCACTAGAAGCTGAAAACACGTTGGAGTGCTGGCTCAGCACATATGAAGTCTTAATAATAACAACACAATTACGTGAGATTTTAATACGGGGTTTTACATGAGCACATTCTAACAGAGTTATTACATAATATTTGGTTTTAGTTTTTGTGATCCTAAAAAATGTAACAAGTCACGTAGCTTCTAAGATCAGAAAAGGAGCATTTAACGCATACTGTACTCAAACCTCAATTTTCAGAATAACCACAATTGCGAACACAGAAAAAAGTACCGCATGACGATTGATTATATTGTTTGCTTCTGAGAAATGACCTTCCCCACGTTAAGTCCTTCGCAGCATTATTGACCACAACAGTATACTCCGTTTTGATATACAGCAATTGCAACTTAAACAATGTATCCACTTTTGATTTAAAGCTTTCGTGACTGCAGTAATTCATATTCTTAGTTTTTTTCGGTAAAGTCACGTTGAAGAGAAACAACAAAATAACAAAATATATATAAAACAATAAAAAAAATTCTCACGACGTTTCGACCATAACTCAAACGGTCATCATCAGGTGTGTCGGTTTGCATAAATTTATTTTTAAAACGGCACATTCATATTCTTAGTTTTTTCGGTAAAGTCACGTTGAAGAGAAACAACAAAATAACAAAATATATATATAAAACAATAAAAAAAATTCTCACGACGTTTCGACCATAACTCAAACGGTCATCATCAGGTGTGTCGGTTTGCATAAATTTATTTTTAAAACGGCACAAACAACGGCACAAATAAATGTGCCGTTTTAAAAATAAATTTATGCAAACCGACACACCTGATGATGACCGTTTGAGTTATGGTCGAAACGTCGTGAGAATTTTTTTATTGTTTTATATATATTTTGTTATTTTGTTGTTTCTCTTCAACGTGACTTTACCGAAAAAACTAAGAATATAATGTATCCACTTATTACAGATGCATGTAACTCAATTTAAACGTTTTACAATTATTACAAGTTGAGTGAATTTGGTGTGGATGATTTGTTTGCGTCCAAATTTACTTAATTTTATGGTAACAGTTTTCTGTCGCTGTTGCGTTTATGGACAAGTCACCCTTGATACAGCGCTGTTGAGCTCAGCGGACTAATTAGGGCAACACCTTCTGATTCTCATTCTAAAAATGTTGGCGAGTGAGTGCCTATATTGAAGTGGACCGACAACCGGCAACTCCTGGATAGGCGTATTGAATGTTTATGTCTTTTCCTCGTGGACTTCTCCAAGTGATGTGACCATTGTACGAACTCTTCCTTCTGGGATTTTTATGGTGTTTAATTTTAATTTGTGGTGGACTTTGCATACATTTAGAGTTTGCTTTTCAGGAATACACACGGATGAGAATATCATCACATCAACACACCGTGTTTGATTTGACGACTGTTATTTGTTAATGCACTGCAAATGCATCGGAGTTCGGAATTAATGGATTTTTTTCATCGTTGCGTGGGTAGCAATCACATTACTGCTCCATCAGCAAACAGTTCTTTGGAAATTCTAAAACTAGCAGCTGAAGGACTGTGGTCACCGGTGTCAGGATGGGCGATAACAAGCACACAGTCACTTTGTGAATAACACATTGGAACACTAAGTGTTAGGACTCGGTGCGTGATGTTTATTACGGGCTGTACGTGCAATAAATAGCGCAGGCATTACGCAATTGCCTTGTGTCTACTGCCCATTGATCAGACAGATAAGCCTGCAGATTTATTTCTGAATTTAATTCCATGAATGCACACGTGATCTTTTTGAGTTTTTTTTTACTTTGTGTTAGTCGGGTTTTTTGTGCATTGCAGTAATCGAGCAAGAAAACTTATAAAGTAACTTTGCACGGCATTCACAAGAGGATGGCCTTGGTAACTTCTAATAGTGCAGCCTACATTCTTTCCTGTCTCCGAATTTTAATGGATTTGTTACACCCACCTTGAATCATAAATCATTTTAGAAATGTACGTATCATTCTGCCAAATCAGACACGACATCTCCGAAAGAGAAAACATGGTAATTTAACCACTCCCATAAATGCCTGTAGTATAAGCCCCTTTTCATGTGAGGATTACATTTTCCCTTTGCGAAAGTTAAATGTCACATTATGATTGCAAACATTGTCTTCGCAGTGGACAAATGATGGGGAAGTCTGGAGGGAAGAGATAAACGTGGGACACATGACATGGCGTGCATAACACACATCCTCTTTTGTTCCTGATTCTGTGTTCAATCACAAGACTGTATCTTTCCCTGAATGCAAGCTTGTTAGGTTGGCCGAGAGAAGGTTCAGGCAGTAGTTATGAAAAACTGCTGGTGTATGGCCAAGAACCAGTTGATTAGGATGCTGACACTAATCCAACCCTACTTACGACAAGGTTTTGATGTCAGATAAAAACACATTTCCCAATTTATCCGTATATTTTATATCATATAACATAATTTTCATGTATAAAGCATCTCCATAAAGACTCTTTGGGAAAATGCTGTAAGCACATAAGGGTAGCACGGCACATGAGGTAATCATGTGGCCATTGCATTTAACAATAAAAATGTGCATTGCATGCACAAAGGCTCTCAATAGCCTTACGCATTATGCACAACCACCAGCTCATAAGAACTCCATTGTGTTAAGTGTTAACTTTGTCTGAGACCACCATAAATAAATTGAGAAAATGTGGCCAACAGGCAACAGTGTAGAAAGAGACAACAGCAGAGAGGATGTATTATGACTCATCAGTGCAGTCTAATCATCAATCATCACGGCTACCACTGCATTATAGTCATGCATGTTCACTTCTGTTGTCATGGATTTTCTCGTCTTTTACAGATTATGAGGGCAGTGATCGTCTCCCCAGTGCCGATGTTGCCCAGACTGAGTCAACCCTGGAGAATTCCAGATCAGATTCAGATACGTACAGTGAGAGAAAAAAAGTATTTGATCCCCTGCTGATTTTGTACGTTTGCCCACTGACAAAGAAATTATCAGTCTATAATTTTAATGGTAGGTTTATTTGAACAGTAAGAGACAGAATAACAACAAAATCCAGAAAAACGCACGTCAAAAATGTTGTAAATTGATTTGCATTTTAATGAGGGAAATAAGTATTTGACCCCTCTGCAAAACATGACTTAGTACTTGGTGGCAAAACCCTTGTTGGCAATCACAGAGGTCAGACGTTTCTTGTAGTTGGCTACCAGGTTTGCACACATCTCAGGAGGGATGTTGTCCCACTCCTCTTTGCAGATCTTCTCCAAGTCATTAAGGTTTCGAGGCTGACGTTTGGCAACTCGAACCTTCAGCTCCCTCCACAGATTTTCTATGGGATTACGGTCTGGAGGCTGGCGAGGCCACTCCAGGACCTTAATGTGCTTCTTCTTGAGCCACTCCTTTGTTGCCTTGGCCGTGTGTTTTGAGTCATTGTCATGCTGGAATACCCATCCACGACCCATTTTCAATGCCCTGGCTGAGGGAAGGAGGTTCTCACCCAAGATTTGACGGTACATGGCCCCGTCCATCGTCCCTTTGATGTGGTGAAGTTGTCCTGTCCCCTTAGCAGAAAAACACCCCCAAAGCATAATGTTTCCACCTCCATGTTTGACGATGGGGATGGTGTTCTTGGGGTCATAGGCAGCATTCCTCTTCCTCCAAACACGGCGAGTTGAGTTGATGCCAAAGAGCTCCATATTTGTCTCATATGACCACAACACTTTCACCCAGTTGTCCTCTGAATCATTCAGATGTTCATTGGCAAACTTCAGACGGGCATGTATATGTGCTTTCTTGAGCAGGGGGACCTTGCGGGTGCTGCAGGATTTCAGTCCTTCACGGCGTAGTGTGTTACCAATTGTTTTCTTGGTGACTATGGTCCCAGCTGCCTTGAGATCATTGACAAGATCCTCCCGTGTAGTTATGGGCTGATTCCTCACCGTTCTCATGATCATTGAAACTCCACGAAGTGAGATCTTGCATGGAGCCCCAGGCCGAGGGAGATTGACAGTTATTTTGTGTTTCTTCTATTTGCGAATAATCGCACCAACTGTTGTCACCTTCTCACCAAGCTGCTTGGCAATGGTCTTGTAGCCCATTCCAGCCTTGTGTAGGTCTACAATCTTGTCCCTGACATCCTTGGAGAGCTCTTTGGTCTTGGCTATGGTGGAGAGTTTGGAATCTGATTGATTGCTTCTGTGGATAGGTGTCTTTTATACAGGTAACAAGCTGAGATTAGGAGCACTCCCTTTAAGAGTGTGCTCATAATCTCAGCTCGTTACCTGTATAAAAGACACCTGGGAGCCAGGGATCTTTCTGATTGAGAGGGGGTCAAATACTAATTTCCCTCATTAAAATGCAAATCAATTTATAACATTTTTGACATGCGTTTTTCTGGATTTTTGTTGTTATTCTGTCTCTCACTGTTCAAATAAACCTACCATTAAAA